GAACAGTACGCATTTGAGGCCACCACAAACTTTGCGGCAGATGATGAAACCAACGGAGCCCGGCTGGTTGTTTTCTTCCTCCTCCAGCATAAACTGAATGGTCAAGATGACGGCGGTGAAACGTCCCTTGAATGTCTGTACTTGACCTCGTTCGCCACGTACCCGCCCATAATTTCTGTCTGTGATGTCGGAAGACCAACGACTCTCACCGTCGTAAGGCCGCCTCTTTTATGAGTACGGAAATCGGCGAGCCCGTTCGTATGTCTTTCACCTGCTCGTAGATTGTTCCGTTAAACGCAACGTCTGTCCTGAGATAACTTCAGGACTAGGGCGTGTGACAGGCGATTCTCAGTTTAATCGTGTTTACTTTGCAGGAGTAGTTCGTTGGTCTCGATCGTCAGATCATGGAAGCAGAAAATAAGGAGGGGCGTGACATCAAAAAATAGTATGATCTCATTTGGCAAGAGACTTACCCCATTAATTCATATTGACCCAACTATGAAAAACTCGGTGCCTCGGTGGGATTCGAACCCACGCAGTAAGGGGAAGGCTTTAGTACAGCCAACGCTCTAACCACTTGAGCTACGAGGCCCCGCCGGACGACGCGAATTTAATCACATTTAGATTAAGTTACCCGCCCAACCTACTGCATCATCTGAATTACTTAGGAAATCCTGCCTGGGGAGTCAACTTACTGTATCAGATTTGGTGGATCCCAGACATTGCAGTAGGTTGGACGGGTGACTTGACCCTAATGTGATTAAACTCGTGTCGTCCGGCGGGGCCTCGCAGCTCAAGTGGTTAGAGCGTTGGCTGTACTAAAACCCTCCCCTTACTGCATGGATTCAAGTTCCACCGAGACGCCGAGTTTCTCACAGTTGTGTCAATATGAATTATTCAAAATCTGCCAAAACATCTATGAATTACCCCATTAAGTTTCTCTAACAGTTGTGTTGAGGAATAGATCTTGGTGTCCGAATCAGTGGTCAGAAATCTAAGACGCCAGAACAGCCACTTTGCCAGTCCTCACGTCGAAATGCCTTTGAGTGATATGAGCGACCTTAATGTTAACCTTGGGAAGGCCTTAGAATCGGGCCAAGGTCGTTTCTTGGACTCTAGATATGCGTCAATTTTTTAGTACTATTACGTCCGAGCTTTTCTAGTGCCAGTAAGATCGCATTAATTTCGCGCGTCAGCACATCTTTCGCGGTTGGTCCCGTATGGAATATGAAACTGGTTTTCTCTAATGAGTTTTTGACCTTCAGAAGGCAGCCTGTCCTGCTAAGTACAATAGTGGGACGTCCCTTGACCACGGACACGATAGCAATGTCTTTGTCGGGCTTGAGTTCCCTTGGTGCCTAAGGTCCGAACATGGGGAGTACTTTGCGTGGAGGAACGGTACTGTGTTAGATAAGGTTCATCGTCTTCCCCGTTGATTTCGTCTGATTGACGACTGACTCCTTGTTTACAGGTTTGGAATCGGCCCTGTTGGTCAAGACATTATGCGGTAATGACTGAACCTACCTCCTTGTCAGCTCCTTCGACAACAGCTTGAGTATCAGTGTGTCATTTTTTGGATGACCCTCGAACGGGCAGCTTGCCGAACTGGTTCTGCAGTGTTGCGCCGCGTATCGCTCTGTGTTCGCGGACTCGTACAATCACCCTCTGCTCACATCCACAGACTCACGATATCTGGTCTTCTCGTGGTCAGTCCTCCGATGGTATTTGAGGAGTCTCGTGCGGCAACCTTGAGGGCTCACACCGATCAATCGTTTTCCGTGTTGAATACTGTTTGTCGTGCCAGTTCCGTATTTTTCAAGAAAGAAGAAGTGCTTATAGGAAAACTTTATTCACCTGACGTCTTAGATTCATGCTCAAACCTATCATCAGAGACAGCATCCGGTAGGACTAATTCATGCAAAAGAATCTGCAGTAGTTATAAGATGTAGTAGTCATACCACGACATACCTGTCAAAGATGATCACCCTTGTTGCGATAATTTCTCGATGGCTGGCATACGAGTGTTATTTGCCGGAAGTTCATCACCTGTGTTGGATTTTGGCATAATAATTACTCGGCCATCAAGGTATTTCGTATAAATCGCCGTTTTACCACCTCCGTATGTTCCGGAAAGTTGTATAAACTACATTAATGACCAAATGAGTACAGTGAGTGACCGATCTCATGAAATGGTAGCCGAAATTACAAAATACGTTTCCGATTAGGAAGGATTACTGAGGTGGGGTTCTAATATTATCTTGCGGCATAATCCTATAATATTTCGGACTTGGCAGGATGTTCGCTTTTAAATGCACTTCTTTTCAATTTCCTGTAGAAACCGTACTCGGCATAAAATGACTACTTATGTAGCATGCATTTTTCGCATTGATGTTCGATAGTCTTATAAATTCAAATATATTTTATAAAAAGTATAAACAAAATAGGCTTTCTTTCACTCGTTTGATAGAGAATCATTTTATCTTTATATTTTATACTCAAAGATGAAATAAAATTTGGTTTTTAAAAAGTTTCTTATTATGAGGTTTTTAAGACCGTGCAATGTCCATTCATACAGCATTGTACCCCTCCGTTTACCACTGATTCTCATGACATTTACAACATACTTCTCGTCCATTGCAAAATTTTATGGACTCCATATGGTATCTTTTTAAAGACATAGAAGAATATATAATTTTCCTTACTCGGAACGCATGCACCTTGCAGACTGAAATCACTAAGCGCCAATGCAACGGCTAATCTGGTTCCTAATTATTGGGGAATAAGAAAACGTTTTTAAAACCTATTATAGTGATTCTTTATTAAAAGAGTGAAATAAAGCCTATTTTGTTCATGCTTTTTATAAAATATATTTGAATTTATAAGACTATCGAACATCAATGCGAAAAATGCATGCTACATAAGTAGTCATTTTATGCCGAGTACGGTTTCTACAGGAAATTGAAAAGAAGTGCATTTAAAAGCGAACATCCTGCCAAGCCCGAAATATTATAGGATGATGCCGCAAGATAATATGTATTAGAACCCCACCTCAGTAATCCTTCCTAATCGGAAACGCATTTTGTAAGTTCGGCTACCATTTCATGAGATCGGTCACTCACTGTACCCCTCCAACACTCAACACAGCTGATGAAATGCCCTCGCATCTATTTTTTCAGTTGCACGCTAGGACTTGGATTTTCGTTTGACAGTGGTAACTTTGTCGGAAATGGCTGTTTGGATCCTTTCTGTGCTTGTCAGTATTTGCTGCACCATCGCATATACACCTCTGTTTTTCTGTCAGTCAGTTGATTTTGTTCTTTTCACGGATGAGTGGTTTATCCAGGCATCAAGCGGGCTTGATCGTGTGTCGACCTGTCTAGGCAGGACTACGCACGTGACTTGGTGTATTCGGTTGTATGCTGAATCACCCCAGCAGTAGTCGCACTGACAGAAATTACGCTGAAACGATCCGACGAACCTAACTGCACCTCTCAGTTTCTCCATGGCTTTGACTTCAGACACATGCCTGACAAAACGACATTGTCGGCGATCCATCACCCTTCTTCTTACGCCACTTTGAGGCTCAGTCTATCAACGGATGATGTGAAATATCCACTACATAGTAAATGAAGAGACTTTGCCCAGACAGAGTAAATATTCGCAAAGAAGATGCTCAAATGAACGTTGTTGGCAGTGACAGTGATAACAAACCAAAGGGTAGAGTAGGTCTCACCAACACCAGTGTTTGGACCGCTATCTGAACTCAACTGTAGGAGAGCAAGCCACCAGGTGCGATCGGTTGTGATGGTTTCAGAGGCATGCATGTGCTTGTGTGGCAACTGCATCCTATAAATACTAAATCTCCTGTGTGTTCCGTCAGCTTTGTTTGCCGCTGTCTCAGATGATTAATCCGGGAGTGAATCCAACACGTACGTCTAGTGAAATTCTTGTTTCAGCAATCAAACTTCCTGCTTGTTAATTTAACACGCTGATTGAATGATTGAAGTTCGACAGCAACTCAGAGTATCGATAAATGCGCGTACATAATGAATACCCGACTTCTAAAGGGCTAATTTCACAGAAAGTTGATGAGAACAAAGTCAAACCTCCAGTTGACAAAAGTGGAGGGGGAAATCTGCGTTTACAGTCATATCCAAAAATGTGTCGGAGGATATGAAATTTATCCAACCGCGGAGTTTGAACGCATGCTGCAACTAGGAATAATTCGACCGTCCGAGAGCCCTTGGGCGTCTGCACTGCACATGGCGCCCAAGGCGACATCACGTGACTGGAGACCTTGTGGCGACTATTGTGCCCTCGACAGCGCCACCACTTCTGATCGGTACCCCGTGCCTCACTTTCTGGACTTGGCTGGAGCACTTTTCGGCAAAGAGGTTTTCTCGAAGACTGATCTGGTGTGTGGCTTTCCATCATATTCCAGTCGCCCCCGAGGACATCTCTAAAACCTCCATCACCGCACCCTTCGGTCTCTTCGAGTTCATCCGCATGCCGTTCAGTCTTCGTAATGTCGCCTAAACGTTCCAGAGGTTTATCGACCATGTCTTATGTGGCCTACCCTTTGTGTACGCCTACATTGATGACCTCTTGGTGGCCAGCCAGAATGAAGAAGAACACAAAGGGCATCTTGCCTTGGTGTTTGACCGCCTTGGCAAGTTTGGCGTTATCATCAACCCCTCTAATTGTATGTTGGGTGGGCCTTCGCTCGTGTTCCTCGGCCATCATGTTGACTCTGAAGGTTTACGCCCCCTCCCCTCCAAGGTTGAAGCAATTCGTGATTTCCCTCCACCAACTTCCAAGCGACAGTTGCAGCGATTCCGCGGCATGGTCAATTTTTGCCGTCGGTTCCTACCGAACTGTGTTGACCTCATGCTGCCGCTCATCAACATGCTTTCTGGTCCCAAAGGCCCCTCGAACTGACTGGTGAAGCACTGAGTGCTTTTGAGAGAATCAAGAATTCCCTTGCCGACGCCACCTTACTCATGCATCCCGCTCCCGAAGCTCAGCTGTCCTTGATGGTAGATGCCACAACCGTAGCCGTAGGTGCAGTCCTTCAACAACGCCTTGCTGGTTCGACTCGAGCACTTGCCTTTTTCTCCAAAATGCCCTTATCAACTGAGACACGCTGCAGTACCTTTGGCCGTGAACGACTTGCCATTTACCTGACTGTGAAGCATTTCCGGCATTTCCTTGAAGGCCGGCACTTCACTACTTTGACGGACCACAAACCGTTGACTTTTGCACGTCGGTCCCACTCCGACAAGTACAATCCGAGAGAAATCGTCCACCTGGGTTACATCTCCCAATTAACCACCGATATCCGCCACAGTGATGACACGAAGAATGAGGTGGCTGATATGCTGTCCAGGCCGCCACTGTCTTCCCTCCAACTCTCATACGGGATCGACCTCTGCGTCATGGCGGCTGAGCAACAGCGAGTCGGTTGTCCTGGCGACGAGTCCGTTAGTGGTCTCCAACTCAAGGATGTTCCTCTGACCACCAGCTCTGGTGCAATACTTTGTGACGTCTCGACTCCTTTTCATCGCCATTTCGTGCCCGCCTCGATGCGTCAAGCTATATTTGAAACTCTGCATGGACTCTCCCACCCTGGGATCCGAGCCTCTCAAAGGCTTTGCGCGGAAAGGTTTGTCTGGCCTGGCATGAACAAGGACTTCAAAGCTTGGACCCCATCGTGTCTGAATTGCCAGAGCAACAAGGTGCGTCACAATAAGTCTCCACCAGGCACCTTCCCCAGCCCAGACGCACGGTTCAGCCATGTGCACCTGGATGTCGTAGGCCCCTTCCCTCCATCCAATGGTTTCACTCACCTCCTCACCTGCGTCGATCGGCACACCTGCTGGGCTGAAGCCACTCCTTTGCCGAATGCACAGGCTGGAACCATCGTGAAGGCCTTCGTCAGTCGTTGGGTCTTTATGTTCGGTGCTCCATCCACGGTTACCACTAGTCGTGGTGCCCAGTTTGAGTCTGCACTCTTCCAAACGCTACTCAATTTCCTTGGCTGCACACGCATTCGGACCACAGCCTACCACCCAGCAGCCAACGGTATGGTTGAGCGTTTCCAACTCCAACTAAAGACCGCCCTGCGTGCCGTAGAAGACCCAGGAAACTGGTCGGACAACCTTCCTCTTGCACTCCTCGGCATCCGCGCCGGTCTGAAGTCGGATCTGGGCTGTAGAGCAGCTGAATTGGTTTTCAGCACTACCCTCCTACTGCCAGGCGAGGTGGTCACCCCAATTTCTCGTGCGGCCGACGAGACCCCTGACAATTTTGTGCATCTTCTAAGGCAATTTATGCGCTCGCTTTCCCCGGTTCCACCTCGAACTCCAACGACTGAATCTTATATCGAAAAAGACTTGGACAACTGCACTCATGTGTTCGTCCGGTGTGGCCGTGTGCGCCAGCCACTGGAATCACAATACGAAGGACCGTTCCGCGTGCTCGCACGCAACGCCAAGACCTGCCGGATTCGTCGCGGTGACAAGGAGGACGTGGTCAGTGTCGATCGGGTCAAGGCTGCTGTTGCAGAGGAGCGGGGCCTGTCACAGGAACAAAAATGTGCTGACCCCCTAGCCCCTGTTCCTCCATCTTCACTATCGCCTGCACATTCGCCTTGCCCACTCCCTCCCCTTCCCCCCTCGCCCTCTGCCTTTCCGCCCCGCATACTTCCTCTCCCTACATGTTTACGACATCCAACTGCAACATCATCCTCCACCATAGCACGAACTTAACCCTCTTCGACTGTACCTCCTGCAGACATCACTCGCAGTGGCCGTCACGTTCATTTTCCCGATCGTTTAGTTACGCATTTTTTCTAGATTTATGCATATCCTCCGGCGCCGTATTACGTCGCCCTCCGATCTAGTAGGGGGTACTGTGGTGAGGTACCGGACCAATTTACCTTTCACAATTTAATCCCATTTTCTTTGCCCGGATTGCTTGTTTGAATGTGACGAAAAACAACACACCTGAACAACCCCCCTTTGCTGGCCTGCTTAACTGTCGCGCTCTGTTGTCAGGTTACTTAACATTCAGGATTTCTATATTATTCTCCGGTCGGTTTTTACTTGCTGCCTTTAATACTAAGAGCTCGTGAGATATAACTCGTTAGTTCGTGAGAACGTTACCATTTACGTCAGATCTGACGCACCATGTCCCTGAATCGCTAAGGACAGCCGGATTTCTATGTGATTTCTCAAATGTCCACTGCGGACGACCGTGTCGAAGGCTTTCGTCAAGTCTACGAAGGGAGTTCGGAAGTGGGTCCGCATTTCCTGGCATTCCACCAGCAGCGGGCAGGCGGTGAAGATCACGTCGATGGTTCCGCAGCTGCGTCGGAATCCACACTGACTTTCTAGCAGAAATCCCTGTTCGATATGGGTGTTGAGACAGTTGAGGAGGATGTGAGCAAATATCTTCTCTGTGATGTTGAGCAGAGAGACTCCTCGATGAGTATCACAGAGTTGCCAGGTGTGTTTCCACTTGTAAAAATGGATGATTTTCGTATTCGTGAAGTTCTGAGGTACATGTCCGCGGCGCCATATGCCCTGGAGTATTGTTGTAGGGCGAACCACTAGTTTGTGACCGCCGTGCTTGTAGACTGTCAGAATCGCGTCGGATCCCAGTGCTTACCCGCTGCAGAGTTGGTTCACGGCTCGCATTGTTCCTGGGAGAGAAGGCGCAGATTGAGGCTGTTGTCCGTTTCCACTTGAGGAAGTAGGTTGAGGACACTTTTGAAGTGTTCGGCCTTGCGTTTCAGAATTAGCGATTTCGCTGCCAGTAGCGTTGTTCCACGGAGCTAAGGAACAGCGCGGTTTCTATGGTTGAGACTGCTGACCGCCTTGATTGATTGTCTCGAAGAAGTTCTTTGTTTCGTTGCGGTCGGCATACCCCTGGCTTTCCTGGACTTGCGAGCCATCCGGACGCCCTGCATCTCCCCAACAGTTGCTGCCCAAAGGGGTCGACATCTGAAGGAGGACGTTACGGTTACATCGCTCCGATGGTTCATGGAGGCCTTGTGTAGCCTGTGCTTTTCAGCGAGCAGTTGGCTGATATCTGCACCGTTGTCGTCGAACCAGTCCTGATTTTGGTTAATTGCGTGTCCGAGTGAATAGCGTTCCTCAGTTGACACCACCGAGTCTCCACGGTGGCGTTGTAGTCCGGCAGGCGGTTCTTTCAGCTGCCGGATTAATGGTGTAAGCGGTGAGCAGACAAAAGCAACAAATCAGTATTGAACCTATCTGGTGGTCGCTTACCTTGTGGCCCCCGGCAAGGATGCAGATGGAGGCTCATTTTGGATACAACGAGACTTTAGTCCGTCCAGGCGTGGACGTCACAGACGGCCTTGGTCACCAGCATTGCCTGCCGATCTGGCCTCCGGAAGAGAACGTATTTCAGCAGCTGCCAACGCTGCAGTCAGGGGTGTAGCCAGGTGACCTTCGCCCGCACGGGATAACGGAGGAACGAGTGAGTTCCGTATGAACGATCGGTGAGCGCCCCCTAACATAATGGAGGATGTTGATCAGCAGAAGTCGATGTCCTGAGCAGGTTCGGAGGTGGGGGAGGCCATTGTCGTTGCAGCCGGCGATTTCATGCGGACCCAGCACTCCCCTCCGGGTGGCGTAATCTGTCCCGTGCAGACGTTGAATTCGCCAAGGACACTCGGCTTTTCCGCCTTCGGCGCAGTCGCCAGAAGGGCGTGCATGTCGTCGTAGAACTTGGCTTCCGCCTCCTCGGAGCTGGTCACTGGGGGCGTTGACACGGATGGTAATGGGGAATTTGGCTTCGCGGAGACGCAGGTGTAGGCCCATAAGTTGGTCATCGACGCACTGGGTCAGATTGAGCAGTCGTCCCACATCGACGCTCCGGAAGGAAATGGCAACGCGGGCCTCATATAGTTTGGACGGGCGCTCCAAAATAAGGGGTGGCCGGCACCTACCTCCTCCACTTGACCTTGTCCGGAGAAGCGGGTCTCGCTGAAAGCAGCACTGTTCACCTTGTGGCGCACCAGTTCTCTAGCGACTAGCGCCTTCCTTCGTTCCCGCTTGTGTAAGAGGGAACAAAGATTTCAGGCTGACAGAATGAGTGGACTCATCCTAAAAGCCTGTGGGTTGAGGCAGAGGGAAAGAGGACGAGGAGGGTTGTTGTTCGATGTTTTCCAACCGCGAATACACCTTTTCTAGTCCAATCCCCGCAAGGAGGTAAAAAGTGCTATCCCTATATAGGGCTACTAAGGCATCCCAGACGACTGCTGAACTCCACTATGGGTCCGAGCTTTACTAACGAGGAACGATCCGAGTTAGCCTGGATCACTTACGAGATCGCATGTCGCCCTCGCCGTAGGAATTATGAATTAGAGGGGGTAGAGTGGGGGTAGAGAAAGGATGGAATGTGCAGGTTGGGATGAGAACAGAATTACGGGGTGAGAGGACACATAGCAGCAGATAACCTCATCCGGTTTAGCCCGCTAGTCGAGACGTCTACCAGGTTGTGGCCGCTAGGTAGAACTTAGTTTCGGGGAGCCGCAGATTTGCGTTGGAGGCCAGTCACCGTATGCATGGCGCGACCTACCACTCATGCATGGATGCCTCTAACCGGACATATGGCGGTTCGTTCACTTGGTCGCCGCCAGTTTGTCACGCCGCCTTTCTGCTCGCCGCACGTTCCCTGTTTATTTGTTGCTGTGACCATGCGGAGCTTGTCATTACCCTCGCCAGAGCTCGAAGCCGGTTGACACCGCCCCGACAGAACTCAGACAGATCAGAGGCGAGCACAAAACTCCCGAAATGACAACTTGTAGCACCGACTTTCAGAGCCCCCTGTACGCTGTTTCACAACAGTGAATCTTGTACAAACAAATCTGTCTTCCCTGACTTGTGGTTTGGGAATCTTCGTGTTCTCGGCCATTGGGGACTCTTGCGTCAACTTCCTACTACGACGAATCCCTACATCTATGTCATCTATCGAATACTGTGAAAATTCCGTTTTCGGCCGTTCTGCGCTGCTCAGCTGTCAAAGCCGACGAGAGGAATTTTGTTTACTGTTTTTGGTCAAAAGGGATATTATGGGAACGATATTCATGAAGAAAATCCTAGTATGACCGGAATAACTCCGAAGCTTCTTTGCGACTACCTAAAATTCAGGATTTACAGGTACAGATCCAAAATTGTTGGACAGTAGAAGCAGACTATCGTCCTAGGATGTACTCTATTTACTAAGGTCGGGTTTTGCCACATTCTCCAGTCTTGTCTAAAAAGAATTCTACTTTGTGAACACCAACAGCAGACTGGTTGCACGGATGTCATGGCCATAGCCTTACCGATTTGTATTAAGATAAGTGCTACTTCGTGTAACCGAGAGTAACAACCGAATAGTTGGGGAAGTTTGCCAAGAGGATTGTAGAGTAGAAACGAACCTACCTTTCAACTAATATGGTTAATATATTTCGACCCATCTGTGAAAAACTCGGTAACCTCGGTGAGATCTGAAACACGACAGAAGGGGAAGGCTTGAACACAACCAACGCTCTAGCCACCTGTGCTACGAAGCTCATCGGGAGTCGTGAATTCTACCACATCTGGGTCAAGTTACCCACCCAGCCTACCGCACTTTATGGAATCCACCAAATGTACTTATGATTTATGTTCCCAGACTAATTACGCCAGTAAAATCGAAGGGGGCAAATTAACCAATGAGAGAACAGTGTGAGTAGATATGTCAATCAAAATTGTGTGTAGGTTTACAGGCGTTTTTAGTACGTTAAAACAAAACTTTTTTATACTACTACAGGAGTCATGCGCACGCATGCATGTGCATGGCGTTTGGTACGTGCACTCAGCTAGCGAGTAACAGATTTTTACATTGACTGTCACACCAAGTCTGTCAAATAAATTACCTTAAATTCTCACTTACGATGAGGTGCCCTGACAAAGAAGATCAGGGTTTGTTGGTGCGGCATTTACTGGAGGCATTTCACCTACAAGTTAATGAGGTGCGAATTCGGTTAGGGTCCTTTTGGGAAAGGAGTTCGGAGGTACTTATGAAGTGTGCGTTTATACCCAAACATGTGGCCATCCTGGAATAATTTTAATTCAGACCGTCTGAAGAACAACCTAAGCAACAAAGCGTCCTGTCAATTAAAGGCGAGGGATTGGCTCTTGGTTCTTCAATGGGTCCAACCAGTTGAAGGGCATATCCAACACATGTTCGCAGTATGGATTTCACAGGTTTATGAGAGAACTACTGTAAAGATTTGAAAACCCGCTGACTACTTGTGAAATCAGGCGCAGGAAAACAGGACGCAAAGCAAATACAAGGCTTTCTTCATAATAAAAAGCACCAAAAGGTGTAAGAGCAACTGTTAAAATGATTGTGCAGAGTTACAGAAGACCCATCACTGGAATGGCAAAAACGCTTTCACTGGGGAACTGCACCTTAACGACCGTGCTGCACCAAGAAGTGACATTTTTTACCAATGAGGGCTCATTGACAAGCAGTACATCCCATGTGCGCAAAATAGCGTAATCGTAGACAACGAAGGAGCTCTAATTTGGCCAGAGGATATAATAGATTGAGATCGACTACATAGCGGTGCGTAACCGATTTTATTAAAGAATATTCATATGAAGGCCAAAATACAGGACAACTATATGGACACCTGGAAGGCAAGGCCTTCAAAGTTACTGTCATGTGCTTCCACGGTTTGCAGTGACTGTAGAAAACTTGTCCTGGTATTAGACATTTCATAATTATCGGCAAAAATCGGCGGGAAAGGCCGTCGTTGGTCGATTCCAGATGGTGTCCGTGGATATCTTAAAACAATCTATCACGGCTGCAGTCAACGAACATTTTCTATCCGGTAGTTTGCCGATGTCCTTGTCGCCTATAGTCCGCTGCGTGGGAAAAATGGTCCTGAGGCAGTGACATCAATATTTTCGAAAGTTTTTCCATCTAAATATTTGCAGACTGTTTATTACCTATTATGCTAGCTTACTTATTTGAATTATCTCGTTTAGTCCAGGTTCAGTAGACCTTCGCGAATTACGCGACATCCTGGGCGGAAATTCACGACTTCTTAAGGATATACAGCCACGAAGTCCGTAGCACTTCACTGTATTTTACGTTTTCAAACCATCTCGCCTTCCTTTTATTCGTGAAGGGCTGCTTCAGGGTACTTTATCTCCTAGGTCACAAGCAACCAACCATTGAGCCCCTCTCCCAGTAGTAGAACGCTCGATTTAATACTAAAGGGTTTTAGAATCTGGGCTCGTATCCTAGGTCATCCGAGCCTGGGATTATGGCATCGTTGGCTGATGACGTCTGGTGAGCCAGAAATGGTCATTCCACCTTTCCTTGCCCTTTCCGTCATATCTCCTGATCCTCCATCCATTACATAGTCAAAGGCTTGTAAAAAATACTTTAATCATGCTCTAGAACGTTTTGCATGGACTTGATCTTGACTAACTTGTTAGTCCTTTATTCATCGTAGACTCCCATGGCCATCAAGATCGCTCCTATGCCCACTAAGAGATACCTACTCGTTACGGAGATATGCAATCGGGAGGAGAGGAAATTTAGCGAATTACGGCGATCGATAGGCCGATATCCCAGTAACCGCAATGCGTAATGAGCCAAGCTTGGCTGTCATGCCAGTAAGGCCCTCGATGTTGCCGACGCCTGAAGGAGGAAGAGGTTAAGAACTGCCCGTTATTGGGTTATCAGTCGCTTATGAAACCAGAACTTGCCAGGTTAGGAGTGTGTCGCATGACGGTCAATAAACGTCAACTTAAACAAAACTGAATAAATACAAGGGCCTGTGCTTGTAATCGCCTACATCAGTGTGCCGTCTCAAAAATTATGACGTCCTCAACTAATTTTGATGATCATCTTTTGGAAGAAGATCTCAAATTAAATGGACCGTTTTGTCGAGACAACCGCCCATAGTAAGAACAAAAAGTTACGAAGACGTTTTCTGACAGCAAGCAGATCATATAAACTGAAAAACCTAAGAGCCCGTGAAGAATCGACAAATTAAAATATAGGAAATTCTGGATAATTTTCAAAAATATCTTTCTTTCAGACACTTAAGCTGAGGTAACAGTAATGTCCGTAACTAGATTGGAAATAATGTTTTTTGCTATTTTTTTTCAAACTGGCGGTTGCATGTCTGTACATGCAAGCCCTAAATTTCAGATAGCCCAAATGAGGATCCTCTGCCATTCCATTCGGATAAAATATAGTTTTTTTCGCTGAAGAACGTCCCCTTAATGCCTATTCCGATATCAAAAGACTGCACATAACTCCTTTGGCCGGTCCGTTTTGCTGAACCAAAGCTCCTGCACCCAAGCAGCGCAGTATGGCCGAAAACGACCTTCCCTTGACGTCCTATGGACGGCACTGTTAGGGGTACTGCACTATTAGACAGGTGCTTTTGTAGACTGTAGCGTATTTTAGCTCATCATAAGCACTCTGCTATTTTTTGAAGACTATAATTTGCCACTATTCGGTATATCGAAGACGGTATCTGTGTATAAGAACTTCTGGACTTAGCTATGAACTAACTGACAAGTGATCGACCTCACAGCAAAAATGTCTGGCACTGAACCTTCGCGCGGCCTCACCAAAGTTCGGACTACATCCGATGCTCTCGGTAGTATAAAATTACGTCGCTCTTGCTCTTCAGCCATTCTCGTCTGTAGGCTTTTGCCCGATTATATTTCGGTATGCTACTCGATGCTGCACAAGGCACTGACGATCGCCTGAGTGCATGGAATTGATGGCCATGCAGGCGGCTTTTGCGCTTCACGTTGAAACGAGCAGTGT